AAAATAGCCAAAGCAGTCTAAAAACAATTGGTACATTGCTTTTGCTTTTAGACTCAAAATTGTTTGCCTCGGTTGGCCTTAATATATTTTTTCCACTTTGTTTCTGGCCTTAGTATTTATTATTGAAGTTCAATGTCCCTTCATTTCATCATGATAAATAATCCTATGTCCCAGTACACATAAAACATTTATTATTCGAAACAGCAAAACATGTGCACGTTTTTGTGGGATGTATGGTCTTTACCAGCAGTAATAGTTGTGCATGCATAATCTATTGACTTTGTATTTTATATCATAGTGCAACTAATTTAAAATATATTATGCAAAATGTATTCCTACTTAATTATGAAACAAACTTATAAGGTAATTCTGTCAGTATATTTTTCAACAACCAAAGCAGTTCCTCGGTCCTTCAGTTTTGTAATTTTTTTTTCAAGATCAACAAATGTGTACATGGCACAAGGTCATGTGCACATTGTGCATAAAGAGGGTAAATAAAATCTTGAAGTGGAATATGGATTTAATGGGTTGGAAAGTCAAGGAACTTTGACAAACATCAACTTAACCAATCCAACTAGGAACTCTGAGCCCCATTTGAATTCACATCACACTACACCTGGTAAGAATTAGTCTAGCACAGCATCATCAATCATTGTGTGCTTGTCAGTTTTGACATCCTTTAGGTCTACGTTGTATGCTTAATGACTGCATTACAGGAAATGTAAACAGACACCAAATATACAGGTATGCTTCATATTTTTTTCCTTCTACAAAAAAGACAAACAATTAGCTTTTAAAATGGGAAGAAAACAAACAGATCATACAAATGTGAAACATGCAAGGAAACATATATTAAAAACATGTGCATAATAGTGGTTTATTGTTATTACAATAAGAAAGGCACATACTATAATGCTTATCTGGCTGATGTAAAGCATTTTTAAATTTGTTTTTAATGTAAAGTTATGAAAGAGCTTTATGTGTGCATTCAATAAATTTACAAATCTATGCTAGGATGTTTTTAAATGTATTCTAGAATGTGCTATTAACTTTTCCACTATATTGCCAAAAGTATTGGGACTCCATATTAGTCCATAGGGTTGAATATTGAGTTATCCCACCCTTTGCAGCTATAACAGCTTCAACTCTTCTGGGTAGGCTGTCCACAAGGTTTAGGAGTGTGTCTATGGGAATGTTTGACCATTCTTCCAGAAGCGTATTTGTGAGGTCATGCACTGATGTTGGACGAGAAGGCCTGGCTTGCAGTCTTCGCTCTAATTCATACGAAACGTGTTCTATCGGGTTGAGGTCAGGACTCTGTGCAGGCCAGTCAAGTTCCTCCACCCCAAACTCGCTCATCCATGTCTTTATGGACTTTGCTTTGTGCACTGGTGCGCAGTGATGTTGAAACAGGAAGGGGCCATCCCCAAACTGTTCCCACAAAGTTGGGAGCATGAAATTGTCTAAAATGTCTTGGTGTGCTGACGCCTTAAGAGTTCCCTTCACTGGAACTAAGGGGCCATGCCCAACTCCTGGAAAACAACCCCACACAATAATCCCCCTACCACAGAACTTTACACTTGGTGCAATACAGTCAAGCAAGTACCATTCTCTTGACAACCGCCAAACCCAGACACATCCATTGGATTGCCAGAGAAGCATGATTTGTCACTCCAGAGAACACGTCTTCACTGCTCTAGAGTCCAGTGGTGGTGTGCTTTACACCACTGCATCCGACACTTTGCAATGCACTTGGTGATGTAAGTCTTGGATGCAGCTGCTTGGCAATGTAAACCCATTCCATGTAGCTCTCTACGCACTGCTGTGTTAATCTGAAGGCCACATGAAGTTTTGAGATCTTTAGCTATTGACTCTGCAGACAGTTGGCGACTTCTGCGCACTGTGCACTTCAGCATGCACTGACCGACTCTGTCCTTTTATGTGGCCTACCACTCTGTGGCTCAGTTGCTGTTATTCCCAGTTGCTTCCACTTTGTTATCATACCAGTTGACCGTGGAATATTTGGTACCCTGGACATTTCACAGATGGACTTGCAGAGGTGGCAACCTATAACGGTACCACGCTTGAATTCATTGAGCTCCTGAGAGCGACCCATCCTTTCACAAATGTTTTAGAAGAAGTCTGCATGACTAGGTACTTGATTTTATACACCTGTGACCATGGAGGTGATTGGAACACCTGAATCCAATGATTTGTAGGGGTGTCCCAATACTTTTGGCAATATAGTGTATGTTAAAACATGTACAATTACAATTCTTATACAAAACTATGATTATTCAAAGATTACGTTGAGAACAGTGTAGGATTTAAGTGTCATAAGAGTAAAGAGCTATAACAAATAATATGCCTGTGATAAGTCTGAATCATTATATACATAGGCAGACCTATGTACCTATAATAATAATGTATCAGAACTGGTTCCTCACTACATTAGGCCCTGCCCATGCAAACACGTGAAATAAGACTTACAGTCTATAAAACTTTATTAATGTTAATCACACTGCATGGTAAAATAAATTAACCACTTCCTTACCGCGGTATAGCTGAATGTCGGCTACAGCACAGTCATCCAGTTCTGGGAGGGCGTCATATGACGTCCTTCCAGAATTCACCCCCATGCACCCTCAGTGGCGCACACCTTTGGACACAGCTGATCACATGACATGGTAAAAGGCCAATTACAGCAACATTTTACCACGTGATCAGCTGTGTCCAATCACAGCTGACCACCATGTAAATACACTTTCCGGTTGTCGGCAGAACTTTCCTTATGCTGTCACAGCGTGAGGAAAGTACTGCCGATAACTGCCAACTGTCAAAGGAGACATCTGTACTGATAATTAAGGCACTGATTATTAGTGCCCTGATTATCAGTGCAGCCTCAAAAGTGCCCATCAGTGCCCAACAATGCTGCCCATCAGAGCCCATCAGTGCCCAACAGTGCTGCCCAGCAGTACTGCCCATCAGTGCCTAACAGTGCTGCCAAGCAGTGCTGTCAATCCGTGCCTGTTAGTGCCGCCGGTCAGTGCCATCAGTCAGTGCTTCCAGAGTCAGTGCCACCAGCCAGTGCAACAGCACTGAAAGCTGAAAATTGGCCAGGCGGGAAGGTGGTAAAAGTTCCCAGCAGGCAAGTGGGTAAAGTACCCGAGTATTGGTTATATGCCCTCATTCCTCATTAGGCATCATCCCATTTTATACTACACTGTAAGGATGATGTACTAAAGGATTTGAAAATGTTTGGACATTAAAATTAATTCAGTTATTCCATTGTATGAAAAGAAAATCACTGTTTACTGTTTTATTTCATCATGATTGGATAATGGAATTGAACACATTTTGTGAACATTCTCAAATCCTTTAGTTAGCCTCTATGACTGACAAAGGTCAACTGTAATTTTTGCCCACAAAATGTAGAAACACAGGAGTTGATTTACTAAAACTGGTGCAACTCTGCATAGACACCAGTCAGCTGCCAGGTTTTTTTTTTGTCAAAGCTTAAATAAACAAAATTAGAAGTTGCCTACCATGCACAGCTGCACCAAACTTTGCACTCTTTTAGTAAATCAATCCAACAGATTTTTTCAAATGAGTGAATCTACTATGATCGCCATCAACAAAATAGGTCTGGACTGTCACGTGCAGAGCTGTACCCCATACAGGGTAGAAGTACATCATTTTATGTAAATAAGTAATCCACAGTGAAAACGTTTAGTTTTGGCATCAATGACTTTAGAATTAGAGCCCATTAAAAGTGCTCAACTGACAATATAACTTTAAAGCATGTACAGTGTACCCAGCAGCAACGGTGTATTTAGGTTTTTTGCTGCCCTAGGCATCACAAAAATTGCCGCCCCCCCCCAGAGAAAGCCTGACACCGACAAAACACCAATACCCCCCCCCCCTTCCACGGAGAGAGCCTGATATTTACCAACAACACCCCTGCCCCACCACACCCAAGAGAGCCTTCCACTACTGCCCCCCACACACCGGCCACCGACACCCCACCCCCCGTGGAGAAAGAGAAAGACATTGATCTACACAGCTCTGGACATCCCCGGGAACAAGAGTTGGGGCTCTGCATACGCTATCATGCAGCTTGCAGCCTCTCTCGGATCCCACCTGGTCCCCATGTCACGCGTGCCCCTTCTTCCGGGGGGGGGCAGCGCTGCCCCCCTGAAAAATTCCACCCTATGCAAATGTCTTGTTTGCCTTGTGGTAAATACACCCCTGCCTAGTATGTATTCTCACTTAACTTACAGAGCACCTTGGGAGCCCTCAATCTCAGGAATTTGTATTTTAATAATCCTACATATTTACTGTGGTCAAGCTTGGACCTACCCTTCCCAACCTTACTGTTGGTCTATAAACATACCAAGCTGTTCACTTACTTGATCAGGGAGAGACATTTGTATAACAGAACAACCTGATTCTCAGGCACTCTGCATGGTATCCAAATGTCTGCTTATAATAAGTAACCAGCACCTTTGCAGAAAGCTGCAGAAATTCTACTTGGAGCTGGATTCCTTAACACTGCTCCATGTAGTGAATCAATTTCCTCGCCCACATTCAAGGTGGATAAGGACATCCTCCCTGCTGTGTCATTGTATTCTGACAGAGGGATTCCCCCCAGTCAGATTACACTGATCAATGCTGCAGCCGATTGGCTGCATGTACTGACCAAGGAAAAATCCAAAGGCTCTTTGTAGCAATCGTATGTACAGATATGGACGCGGACATCATGTAAGGGACCGCCTGGCGGTACCACTAGCACTCCACTGAATAGGCGTCCCCAGCGCACGGAGTCTAAGTCCCAGGGTGCTTGTTCACCAGGGCCCCTGATGGTGGGGATGGACTTGGAGCCCCCCCCCGAGACCAGGTCGTGGCTACTGGGTGCGTCCGTCAGTGGTAGTGGTATGCGCCAAGGGCTCCCACGGGAAAGAGTCTGATATGAGGAGGTCAGGAGACCCCACTGCGAGGGATGGGCGAATGGATGAGCAAGGTCAGACGGGCCGGGTCGGTAACAGAGAGAACGGTAAGGTACAAGGCAGCAGGCAGAGAATGGTCGGGTCACACGCCAGGTCAGCAACAGCAGGTCAAATCTAATAGGGGGCATCCAGGAGAGAGGTCAGGTAAAGCAAGGGTCAGAATAGGAGAAAACAGCAAGGTCAGGTACAATCCGGGTCAGTAACTTACAGGGTACAGGTTCGCAGAATCACAGGATGCAGGAAAGACCAGAAGGCACTGAATGACAGCTCAGGGCCATTTAAATATCCCGCCCTGCGCTGCCATTGGTGCCCAGCGGGCAACCGCGGCTTCTACTGCGCATGCGCGAACTCGAACGCCGCGGCCGGCCCGGACCTAGTGCCCCGTGTCCCTGCACAGGGCGGTGCACTGCGCCTGCGCCGGGACCATCGCGGCGGGGATCGAGGAGATCCCTGACACATCCATTTTGCTCAAGATCCACGATCTTGTGTCATTCTCACTCCAAATCAGTCCTCCTCCCTTTTTGTTGAATGGCATGTGGTCTGTGTGTGTACTGAGTTCAGGAGTGCACAGGGCACAGCTGGATACACTTTATGGTTGTAAACCCAATTAGCTGGTTTCAGGGTGTCTGAAAGACTCTTGCTGTGACTGGATCGTAAAGCTATAAACCCATCAGTCACTGGACTTGAAAAGCATTCTGAAATAGCAGTAAAACATACATCCCATTTGAAACCTCTCTTTTTAATACAATTTCATAACTCCTGGCAGGAAATAGGTACAATAGAACAAAGCATATATTCAGATAGGTCTGGGGTCTGACGCCGCGCCCGTCACACTCTTCAAAAAGTTTCCACGCTTTCTATATACATTGCTCAAAAAAAAATTAAAGGAACACTTTTTATTCAGAGTATAGCATTGAGTAAATTAAACTCCTGGGATATTGATCTGGTCAGTTAAGTAGCAGATGGAGTTGTTAATCGGTTTCAGCTGCTTTGGTGTTAATGAAATTAACAACAGGTGCACTAGATGGGCAACAATGAGATGACCCCCAAAACAGGAATGGTTTTACAGGTGGAGGCCACTGAAATTTTTTTCCCTACTCATCTTTTCTGATTGTTTTTCACTAGTTTTGCATTTGGCTAGGGTCATGGTAGCATGAGGCGATACATGGGCCCTACAGAGGTTGCACAGGCAGTCAACTCCTCCAGGATGGCTCATCAATACATGCCATTGCCAGAAAGTTTACTGTGTCTCCCAGCACAGTCTCAAGAGGATGGAGGAGATTCCAGGAGACAAGCAGTTAGTCTAGGAGAGCTGAACAGGGCCATGGAAGGTCCCTAACTCATCAGCAGGACCGGTATCTGCACTTTTGTGCAAGGAGGAGGAACAGGCTAACCACCGCCAGAGCCCTACAAAATGACCTCCAGCAGGCCACTGGTATGAATGTCTCTGACCAATCAGAAACAGACTTCATGTGGGCATCCATCTTAGGTGTCTGCAAAGCATTGTGGGATCCTTTCTGCTTTCAGCCCCCTGCGGCTCCTCTCCCAGGAGGTGGCGGATTATCACATATAAGTCTGCTGTTGGTAGCTGTCCATTGCATTCGTGTCCTGTCTGTTGCACAGCAGCAAGCTCCTGTTTAGTTTCTCATTGCTCTCCTGGATACCGACTCAGCTTTGGCAAGACTCCTTCCTGGCTTCTGACCCCGGCTCTGGCGACCATCCTTCCTGGCTTCTGACCCCGGCTCTGGCGACCATCCTTCCTGGCTTCTGACCCCGGCTCTGGCGACCATCCTTCCTGGCTACTGTTCTACCAAGTCACCCGCTGTTGCTGTTGGACTTACATAGACTCTGTCTTGTTTTTGTATAATAACCCTACCTTTAATTGAACCTCCTTGTGTGTCTGGCTCCTCGCTCCCTGACAAAGGGTCTGGAGAACCAATATTGAACATTATGCTGCCTGTAACATCATTCAACATGACCGTTTTGGTGGTGGGTCAATGATGGTCTGGAGAGGAATATCCATGAAGTGATGCATAGACCTCTACAAACTAGACAATGGTACCCTGACTACCATTAAGTATGGCGATTAAATCCTTGGACACATTGTCAGATCCGACGCTGGTGCAGGGGGTCCTGGGTTCCTCCTGGTGCACGACAATGCTCGGCCTCATGTAGCGAGAGTATGCAGGCAATTCCTGGAAGATGATACCATTGAATGGTCCCCACGCTCACCTGACCTAAATCCAATAGAACACCTCTGGGATATCATGTTTCAGTCCATCTGACGCCTCCAGGTTGCACCTCAGACTGTTCAGGAGCTCAGTGATGCCCTGGTCTAGATCTGTTGAGGAAATACCCCAGGACACCATCCATCATTTCATTAGGAGCATGCCCTGATGTTGTCAGGCATGCATACAAACACGTGGGGGCCATACAAACTACTGAGTACAATTTTGAGTTGCTGCAATGAACGTTCAGCAAAATGGAGTAGCATGCTGCATAATTTTTTCACTTTGATTTTCGGGGTGTCTTTGAATTCAATCCTCAGTAGGTTGATAATTTTCGTTTCCATCAAACTGTCACATACCTGGATAGTGAGCCTGACGTGAAGAGGCAGGCTTTCCGTACAACTCTGGCTCAAGGACTGCTGATGGTGAGACAGTGGTCGCAGGGGCACATTGGGGTATGAGTGCCAGAGAGCAGTCCGGTAACAGCAGGTGAGCTGATAAGTTGCAGGCAAGGAGCAGGGTTCTGATGTAGCCGTGCGGGATGGTTGGATACTCGAGCACAGCATGCTGAGGATGCAGGGTCAGACGAGCCGGGTTCGGTATCAGTCAGGCAGATCAGGCTTACAGCAGCAGGAGGAAGAATAGTCAGGTTACAGGCCAGGTCAGCAATGGAAGATCAATCAGACAGGAGCAGAGACAGAAGAATAATCCAAGACAAGCCAGAGGTCAGGGCAGGAAGCAAACAAGCGGAGATCAGGAACAGGCTGGTTCGGTATCAGGAGTCAATCACAGGAAGCAGGGAACAGACCATACGGCAATGGGACAACTACTGCAGCCAGTTTAAATAGCCCTTTTGGCGCCAGCATTAGTGACAGGCGCGCCCCCGCATGTCCAAGTACCTGCACATCTGTTTGATTGGTAGGCATGCGCCTATTTGTGCACCGCGGAACTTCACCTGCACTATGGGCAGGCTTTTCCTGACACAAACGATGGGGCATTCTTACATTCCTAACACATTATCCAGTCCATATCAGTATAGATATCCAGCATGATATTTTTCCCCATTGAGATCGGATGTATTTTCAAAGTGTTCTTTTAAATTTTTTGAGCAGCATATATTAAAGTTTTAAAAAGTGCGGAAAGTTTTTGAAGAACTCTCGTATATCAACAAGTCTGTTCATAAAAAGTTGATTGTTAGAACAAACTCTCATGAACAGGAACAGCCATAAATGGATCAAAAGTCAGCTGGTTCCTGCTGAACTGGCCATGCTTCGATTCATGTATGGCCAGCTTAACCCTGTTGCCAAAAAATACATTAATGTGTCTAATTAATTGTTGGCTGCATGTCCAAATACTCTGATGGGAAAAATCAATTTGAGGAAGAGAGTGAGCCAGTGTAGGTTTCTTATGTTCTACAGTATATGATACCATTGTAGGCTAACATAGGCCTTTTTACTTATGAGACTACCAATTTCATGTGATTGTATAAAAATATCCATTCCTACTATACTAGTTTTTTTTTTTTAATACCAGCCATTTTTAAAAGACTCCAAAAGATTTTCATATTTAATAATAACAAAACCATTTCAACAAGACAACCAATCATTTGTTTACTAGACCACTGTGTTTTAATCATAAACTTTGTAATAATGGTATTGCTTTAAAGAATTACATTAATCCTTATTGCCTGTGAATGTCTGTAAATAAAGTCTAGGGTAATGGCCATTTGACAAATTCTATATTTTTTCCATGTGATGGGACAAGGCATTTTTTTTAATGCTGAAATATCTGACTATAAAATTGAATGATAAAATGTATGTCACTATTATCTTTTTGAAATATATATTTCATTTGTAAATATAGGAGTTCTAAAAAGAAGGTGAATAATATTCACCTTCATTTTGATACTCAGTTCTATGGCAAATAGATACACATGCAATGCTAAAATTCCTATTTCCTTTTTATTTGCGTTAATATGTATGTTTATGTAAAAAAAAAATATAAAGCTTTATTTTTATAGGTACATGCTCTAACTTCTTCATGACCAAGTGTCTTTTGTCTGTTATGCCCACACAGGATAAATAAACAGATGACAATAATTAGTAGAAGTGCACACTTTTATGCAAGCAAAAAAATGCATAACCATTGACTTTAGATTTACATGCACTGCATTTAATGATCATTTTAGATTGAAAATTATTAAAATAATATATTAATATATAGTGTATTTGAATGGAAGAGTTGATACCATACACTTTAAAGTAATCATAATGATTTAACTTTCATTGTATAAAAAAATCAATAAAAACTGTTCGCACATGTGGCTTCCACAGAAGTAATTAATGAACAGAGAGATCGATTTCTGTAAATAATGTGATAATGAAATATCGTGCTGTATTGTTTACCGTATCTTTCTGAGATAATGCCATTCAAAGACCTCCAAAACAGTTACCAAATAAACTATTACACAATTGTATAATTTTTTAGATCCTTTGTGCCAATCTGTGCAGTCTTGTGTATACTATGTGTAGATGACGTTATAAGAATTAAGTAATAAAATAAGGCACGAATGAATAGTTTGTGCTGATCTTTTAAAAATATTTTATATATGATAAAAAATTAAGGCATCTGTCACATAAGATTATATTTTTGGAGCTGCTTGGAACAATTTAGAAATCACTTCTGCTGCCATTCTTGAGTCATAAAAGTTTGAAAATGATCAGTCTACAGCATCTGACCACAGGGAAAGCTGCACAATGTCAGGGACCACTGCTCTTTATAAGAAAGGCTGGAGTTGTGAATGCCTTAACACTGTTTTATTGGTGACATGGAAGACTTACATTTCACAGTCATGCTGAAAAACTATTTTGAAGTGAGCAGAAGTTCAGAGGGCTGGTGAATAAAGTATAGGCTAACAACTAATTACACAATTGAGATACACTAATGTGTACTGTTTTACTTGCCAAAAGATTTGTAGACCTGTTCAGTCAGTCTTGTGATCCAAACACCCTTGTCATATATCACTGTCAGGTGCTGGCCCTTTCTGCAAACTGCATTGTGGTTGATTGATATAGTCTGGTCTGTGGGACATTACTGGGCGTTACTGGGGTCATCACTATGCTTTGCCTGCTGTTTGTAACTATAAAGTTCTGATTGGCTTGGAATTCTGTAGAATGCTAATATTTACTCACCCAGTCTGATTTCTGCTGTGCTGCAGATTGGTATCAATATATACTCAATACTTAAATTGAATGCAATTAATTCAAATATATCTAATGATTTTGATTAATGTGCAGCTAGATTAAATTGTTCTTGAAATTCTGCTTTAAAGGTAAGATGTAGAATATACACGTTTTGAGTTTTATTGTAATGTGAACTTAAAATAAATATGTCAAGATGTTCACCTTCCTTTTGCTCTTTCAGTGCTTTATTTATTTGTAATTTCAATACAGATTTGTAGATATTTCTTCTGATAACTATCTATATATAATACAAGAAAGTCTTTATCCAATCTGGCTGCTAAGATAAAACAGCTGCTTAGAAAAAAAGCTCAGTTTCAGAAAAAGATATAATAAGGTTCTATAATGTGAGGAGATGAATATGCTTGCACTGAATAGAGGAACAGCAAAGTAAAATCACTGTATAGGACTGCTAAGCAGGAAGCATAGCCTGCATATGTAACTAGGAATATATCTGCCCCCATGTACATATATAGCTAAAACATTATGCAAACAAGATATTAAAGGATATTAAAACATTAACCACGGGATAATAAGCTTACTAGGTGTACAGCACTCATTATCTAATTTGTCCTGCTATAATGGAGTTTTAAATAAATGGTACTCAGTGGGAAATAATCAAATTATTCCGTTCACTGGGTACAATGTCACATTTAAAGACTTGTACAAACACAAGGAGAAAAGATATAATCCTATGCACAAGATATATGATACACATTTTGAAGGGGAGTTTTCCCTGCCATAGCAAATTACCTTTATCAAAAAGAAACAAAGTTGGAGAGTTTCTCTTTAGTTTTAAAGAATAGTTGTTGTTTTTTTTTTACCAAATACTGCATTTGATTAAAGTGGTTTTAAAGGCAAGACTTTATATACCTTAATGCATTCTCTGCATTAAAGCGAAGCTCCACCTAAAAGGGGAAGTTCCACTTTAAGGACTGGTCCCCTGCTCCCCGTTAAGGATTGGCACCTTTGGGGAGCAGGGAGTTAGCAGGTACCCGAAATTGACAGGTACCCGCTCCCACTTCTGCTGCGATCGCCTACGTGATTGGAAGCAGAAGTTGTCCTCCTCCCCTCCATCCTTCCCCGTAGTCTTCTGGGACACGTGACAGGTCCCAGAAGACTACAGAGCCATTCACAAAGAGCAGCGCTTCTCGCATATGCACAATGAGCACCCGGCTGTGAAGCTGCAAGCTGCAACAGCCGAGTACCCACACAGCAGACGGCGCTGGGAACACAGGGCAGCCAGTAAAACTTGCAGCAGGACACACACACACACCGTGGGATCAAAAGACAGGTAAGTGTCTGTTTTTTAAAAGTCAGCAACTACAGTTTTTGTAGCTGCTGATTGTTATTTTTTTTTATATTCACTGGAACTCCTCTTTAAAAAATGTACCACTAGTTGTATCACCAACTCACCTCCCTAAATACTGTATCAATCCAGCGCTGTGCCTGTCTGCAGCAGCACTGGTTCTCTTTCCCCACCCCCACAGGCACAGAGCAAGCCTGTGGTGTGCCACCATAGGAAGCGGATTCCTATGGTGGCACACAGAGAAGAGGTAGAGCCAAGAACACCAGCTGGGGATGCCAGAAGAGGAGGTTCAGGGATTCTCTATGTCATACTATTGCACAGAGGAGGTAATAATAACATGTTTATTATTTTGATAAAACAAGTTTATCACTTACAACCGCATGTGTACATTATTTTGCTAGAAGTCATTGGATTCAGGTATTCCAATCACCTCCATGGCCGCAGGTGTATAAAATCAAGACCTAGGCATGCAGACTGCTTCTACAAACATTTGTGAAAGAATGGGTCGCTCTCAGGAGCTCAGTGAATTCAAATGTGGTACCGTGATAGGTTGTCACCTTTGCAATAAGTCCATCTGTGAAATTTCATTGCTACTAAATATTCCACGGTCCAACTGTTAGTGGTATTATAACAAAGTGGAAGCAATGGGGGAACAGCAACTCAGCCATGAAGTGGTAGGTACACGTAAAATGAGATAGCGAGGTCAGCGCATGCTGAAGTGCATAGTGCGCAGAAGATGCGAACTGTCTGCAGAGTCAATAGGTAAAGACCTTCATACTTTGTGTGGCCTACAGATTTGCACAACAACAACAGTGTGTAGAGAGCTTCATGAAGTGGATTTCCATGGCGAACAGCTGCACCCAAGACTTACATCACCAAGTGCAATGCAAAGCGTTGGACTACAGTGGTGTAAAGCGCACTGCCACTGTATTTTAGAGCAGTGGAGACGTCTTCTCTGGAGTAACAAATCACGCCTCTCTGTCTGGCCATCCGATGGATGTGTCTGAGCTTGGCAGTTGCCAGGAGAATGGTACTTGCCTGACTGCATTGTGCCAAGCGTTAAAATTTGGTTGAGGGGGAGTTATGGTGTGGAGTTATTTTTGAAGGGTTGGGCATGGACCCTTAGTTCCAGTGAAGGGAACTCTTAAGGTTTCAGCATACCAAGACATTTTGGACAATTCCATGCTCCCAACTTTGTGGGAACAGTTTGTGGATGGCCCCTTTCTGTTACAACATATCTGCGAACCAGTGCACAGTATATATATATATATATATATATATA